CTGTGCGCGGGGGGGGATGGAGATCCCTGTCCTGGTTCCCTTCCGTGCCGGGATGGTGTTGGAGTCAGGTGGGGGCTCTTCTCCCACAGCAGGACAAGAGGGCACAGACTCAAGCTCTGCCAGGGGAGGGTTAGGTTGGATATTAGGAAGAGATTTTTTACGGAGAGAGTGATCAGACATTGGAATGTGCTGCCCAGGGAGGTGGTGGATTCACCATCCCTGGAGGTTTTCAAGCTGAGACTGGATGTGGCACTTAGTGCCATGGTCTGGTAACCACGGTAGGGTTGGACTCGATCATCTTTGAGGTCTTTTCCAACCAGGCTGATTCTATGATTCTATGCGATGCGGTCGCTGCTAACGCTGTCTCGGCATGGATTTGAATGCCTGTGGGGGGCAGAATGGTTAGGGTTGGAATGGAGTGTTGGAGATCCAGTCTAAGCCTCCCTGCCAAGGAAAAGGCACCTAGAGGACACAGGGATGCACATCCAGGTGGGTTTGGAATGGCTCCAGTGAGGGAGACTCCACGACCTCCCTGGGCAGATTCTGAAAGAAAAATCAGGATGCTGCCATTAGACAGCCTGTGCTGACATTAATGATACTCTGATTCTTTACTGGGCAAGTGACTGTTACTGGAATAGGTTGTCCAGAGACATTGTGGTTTCTCCCTCACTGGAGATGTTCAGGAACAGTCTGGACACAATCCTGTGCCATGTGCTCTAGGATGACCCTGCTTGAGCAGGGAGGTTGGACCAGATGACCCACTGTGGTCCCTTCCCCTCTGACCCATTCTGTGATTCTCTGTTACATAAAACTATTTGCTCTATTTCCAGCAGTAATTCATGTGACTGTTGGCAAGCCGTCTGATATTCCACCTGCAAAGGACTTTTTCCCATAGCAACCCCTCCATGAAAACATCCTCTAAGATAACAACAAAGCAACCCCCCCCCAAAAAACCCACCTTTTTATCATTCTTACTCTTAAATGAGTGTTCCTAGCTGACTTGTTTTAACTGTTAATCTTGAAGATGGATTTTCGGTTTAATTTTTCCATCGATGAAAATGAGAACAGTGAAGCAGATGATCACTTCTTACTGCTTACTCCAGCACAAAAGCAGGAATCCATGGAAGAGAGCAGGAAAACTACTGATGATGTAGCAGCCTCCAGCCCAAGGCCAGGGCCTGATAAGCACCAAGATGAGGCACCACCAAAGACAAAGCTGTGTGTGAAAGCTGCCAAGGAGCACAATATACCCAAAGATCTCGACAAAGTATTGGAAAATAAAGTCATGGAAACAGTATCAGACCTGTATTATGTAAACATGTCTGTAGTGGAAATGACATGTTCAGGTGATGCTGACAGCGAAGGCATCGTGTCCAAAAGTGTTTCTTCTCACTCTGATCTCATCCCAGGAGTCTATGAGGGAGGACTGAAAATCTGGGAATGCACCTTTGATCTCATGGACTACTTCTCCGAGGCTGAAATACAGTTTACCAAGAAGACTGTACTGGATCTTGGCTGTGGGGCTGGACTGCTGGGAATAGCAGCTTTAAGGGGTAAAGCTGAAAGAGTCCATTTCCAGGACTACAACAGCACAGTGATTGAGGAAATAACCCTGCCTAATGTGGTGGCCAACTGTGTAAGGGAAGGCAGTGGAAAGGACAGAGAAGCCAGCAAGCCTCCTCCAAAGAGGCCCAAGAAAGCAGAGTGCTCACCTGACATGCTCACCAAATGCAGGTTTTTCTCTGGAGGGTGGTCTGAAGTCAGCCAGTTCCTGTTGGGCAGCAACAAACCCTTTTCAAAGTATGATATCATTCTCACCTCTGAGACCATCTATAATCCTGACTACTACAGTGCTTTGCATGACACGCTGGCTCAGCTCTTGGATAAAAATGGCCATGTGTACTTGGCAAGCAAAGTACACTATTTTGGGGTTGGTGGTGGTATTTACCTCTTTGAGAAATTCATTGAGGAGAGAAATGTGTTTAGAATCAGTGTAGTTAAAACAATCGACCAGGGGCTGCAGCGATGCATTATGGAAATGACCTTTAAAGATTCCCTTTAAAATTCAACCATCAGTCCTGCAAAAACAGCTTAAAAGACAATGTTTTAATCCTCCCACCTATTTGCTTTTTTGGCTGTTACTCTGGTTTGACAAATGAAGGATGCTGGTGATTGAAATGTTTGACAAATTCTGATGTCTGACTGCAAGTGAAGGACTTTGATGATGTTGCTTTTGCTTAGAAAAATGGAGTTCTGCCTAAACCAGCATCTGTTTGTGTCATTGTCATTTGCATGTGTTTACAAATGAAGAGAGTCACTGCCCCCAGCCTGCTTTCTGTTCTTGGGCAGTGGCAGAAATGTGTGTCACAGGAATAGCTGAATGAGACAGTTTAGCATCCTGAGGAGGGTTGGGCTCCCCTCAGGGTATGGTTAAACTGAAGCCAGATTTGGGCACAGACCATTCACTGAGCTCTGCTGCGTTGCCACCAGAGGGGGATGTGATCGTATTCATCACTGGTGTTCTGTTCTGCTGAGCACTCTGTCATGTTCCCATGTGCAGTGCACTCAGGACTTTTATTCAAACCTTTGAAAAAGTGTAACAGAGGACATTTACTCAGGGGGTCTGTGAATTTACACATTCAGATTCTGACACAGCACTCTAAGACATTTTCAGCAAGGAATTGGGAAAAGCCATGCTGGTTTTAGAAACACCATTTCTGCTTTAGAAGCTGAGTTGAAAGAATATTCTACAGAGGATAAGCTTCTTATAACAACCAACCAGTAAGCCACAAATGCAGTACTGGAGGATGATAGAACTGAGCATTAGGTGACAACTGGGAAAGGAGATCAAGTGCACTGTTAGAGCAGTTTAATGAGATTGCTGTACTGTTTTAACAGGATTTTTCTAGAAATTAACTTCCCTATTTTTAAAACTTGCTGGGGGTACTACTGAAAACACACACCTTCAGTCTTTCCAGCAGTTTGGCAGGGCAGAGAGCAGTCACAAAAACCTGTGTACAAATCAGTCCTGTTTCCTCAGCTCAACACAGTGATTTTGCTGAAGAAATTGCCTTACCAAAAGTGCAAACAAACCGAAAACTACAAAACCTGGTCCTGAGTGCTCAGCTCAACAGTTTGTTGAATTCAGTTCAACAAACAGTTCAAAGTTCATTGTATGTTTTGTCTTAACCAAAACCAATTACACAACTCTAACAATATAGATCAAAGCTACTGCTCATCATCATGCACTGCTTTGTTGGGCACCTTTGCAAAAATATAAACTTAGAGACAATCAACCACTGCAGTAAACTGGATACAAGGATGCTCAGTATGGGGGAGAATGGACAATAGTCTGAGGGGATGGAAAGAAACTTATTACAGCAGTGACCTAAATCGCTTTCATTATGGCATAAAGTTCCCATCACTGAAGACAAAGTCAATCCCACAATTCCTATTTTGACCATGTTGCTATTTAGACAATGACAGAGGATTGCCTGTACTTTGCAGAAGAGCCTTAATTACTGTTGTTTCAAAACCAATTGTAAGTAGACTATTTTAAAGATGTCCATTGGAAACTACTAAATTTAGTCTTTCATAGGACAGGTGAGGGAGGAAAAAAGTCAGTTGTGCCCAGCTGTCATTGTGCCTTGGAGCTTTTCTGTATCAGCTCTGAAACTTACTGATGACAGATAACTGCTGACTACAGAGTGAGGAACAAAAAAAGCTTTAGCAGATCAAGAAAGTACTATTAACGGGTCCTATTTTTGTCAAAACAGGGAAGTTGGAAACAAACTGATTACCATTTGCCATCTTTCAAACCTCAGTGCTAAGGCAAATCGTGGTTGTTCTACATGTTCTGCTATGTCTGGTGCAGTTTCAGGGACCATACCTGAAGGAATAAGAAATGTTGAGCACTGACAAAGGATATGGTTGAGAGCAAGAATCTCATGTATTTTTTTGATGAATAAATGAAGAAGGTACTTACAATCTTCTATAATGTTTCCTCTTGAAAATACTCCACAATCAAACTCACTGACTTGGATTTCCTTGCTACTCCTTTACTCAGTATCTTGCTCAAAAATTGCTCTGTTTTTGTGCAAAAACAGAATGAGATTTTCTAGGACTTCAAGGCAAGACTGCTAGAGCCACAGTCTCACGGTGACTGCACACCTGCAAAACAGGTAACCCCACATGCTATAATTAAGTTCCCATTTCAGAATTACAGATGAGAAATGATGTTTTTCTCAGGTGAAATTAGCAAAATTAGCACAGGGATTTCTGTTATTCCAGATGAGTTCTGTTCTTCAGATTCAGCAGATACATGTGTTATTCCAGATGAGTTCTGTTCTTCAAATTCAGCAGATACGTAGAATCATTAGTTTCCCTAATCTACATTTAGGCTTTCTCTACCTGAGAAATCCTTACCACCCTAGTGACCAGTGTCCTCCTGGTCTTCATCAGCTAGAAATTCCCTAATCTACATTTAGGCTTTCTCTGCCTGAGAAATCCTCACGACCCTGGTCTTCATCAGCTGGAATAAAATGAGTGAAAGATTTATTTTTAATACTTACACATATTACTTAATAGCCAGGGAAATTAGGATTTCCCCAAGTGACACTGCACTGGACAACAACAATTGGAAGAAGGTCCCTCAAAGTATTTTTTGATGACACATTAAACCTTTTCATCAGGCCCAACTTCTTCTGTGAACAAACAAAAGTAGAGGTCAGCTGGTAACTCAATTCACCAGCTCAGTCCAAATCATCACCTCTTTTCTCCCCTCACCTTTTGAGCAAGTCATTACAATAAGAAATCCGGTCTAAGTTAGGTCCTTCCCGTAAGTATTGTGGAGAGAAACATTAAAACCCTTCATTAAATCCCTCAGGAAACTAACTTTAAAAGCTTGTTTGTTTTAGCAGGCTCTATGCTTAGCTGATGACTTCCCTTTGAAGACTATTTGCTAGTTTTGGGAAGTGAGGCTATTAAAATCAGGTTTGTGTACTGGCAATTACAGTTATTTTACTGAAGCTTAGAGGAAAAACCTGTGAGGAGAATGGAGATGGGAAATGCCCAATTTACAAATTACTGACTTGCATGATACTCTTGGTTACTAGGCACACAGGCATGGTCCAAAATCAGAATCTTGTTAAGGAAAATCAAGCCTGCAGTCATTATCATGACATTTGAAGTGGTTCTGCCAGACAACCATTACAGCAGAGCTTAGAGAGAAGCACAAAGAGTAGATACAAGAGCAGAGAAGGGTTCTGGAGGGGAAGGTCCAGGCTGCATCTGAGGGGCAGCAGGTGCCAACCAGGAGATCTGCAGCACCTCAAGAGATCCTGCTCTCAGGTGATTTCTGGGATGGACATACCTGGAACTCTTCTAAGGAGGAATGGACTGAAAGGTGTGAGGATGAGAACAGGAAAATCCTCTGGCCAACCTTAACAAAGCCACAGAAAGGTGCTGTAAGATGGATGATTAACAGCAGGATATTTATGGTGATAAACACTAGACTAAAGCCTCTCAAACTTCATTGTTTGTACTGTAAGAGTCACTTGCACATTGAAAAGCAAAAGCCACTTTGTACCACCAGATACTGGTAGGTTAAGTGCAGTAGGAACCACAGCAAAGGGAAGATCTAGAATTTATATACAAATCCCCCTTGAAAACTGTAAGTCAACAATGTATTCCCTTGAAATTCACAACAGAACTAAAGGAAGACTGTCAGGAAACATAAAGAGTGAAAATTGTAGCAAGTAATTTCACAACAAAGGGCAACATCCTGCCACAACAGGAGGAAGCAGGTGCTCTACTTAATTCAGACACTACCTAGGTGTACTGGGTCTGCCAGGAGGTAGTTAACTGAGATAATTATTGCTATTAAAAAAAGGAAAAAAGCATCATTATACTTATAGGGAATAAAGGTACTACAGGGGAACCAGAATGAAAGCAGCACTGTCAGAATTTGACATTGCCAGTTAAGGAAGGATTTTAGAACAACACCAAAGACCTTGATCATTACTTCTGTGGAACACAAATACTGACTTTTCAAAGCCATAGAGTAAATCAAAGATTTAGATCATTGGTAAAGACCTGTAACAATCAACAACACTCCCCACACTGATTTTTGTAACCGTGGATAAGGAAGATGAAAAGCCTAGAAAGTAATGGGAAATGAAGGGAACTGAAAACACAGTGGCCAAAAGACCAGGAAACATGTTTGAGCCTGTGGTGTTTCAAACTGATGGCAAAATCCTGATGTATCCTACAATATATAAGTGAGATGGGATTGGATGAAAACAAGCTGGAGATAAGACAGTGTGGGAGTGTTTAATTAGATGGCAAGTCAAAAGGAGAGGAAAAAGGCTAAGAACTGCAGATTCTGCACAAAGAAATGATCTGAAAAATACGATATACCTGGGAATTACTAACCGTGTGATAAATTACAGCAGAGTCCAGTTACTCCAGAGTTGTAGTTACATACACAGAAGACACATTCAATTTTATTTATCAAAGCACAGCTCACAGTTACCAGCTTTGAACTGCTTGTTGTGTTCGTAAGTAGTCAATTTACTTCTTGTCATCTGACCATGTAATTTCATAATCTGTATACTCTTTCTTCAGTATCTCTGCAGTCACCGAGTGATCTGCTTTGCCATAGCCCTGCAAGACAGAGCAAATGCTTATTAGACATGTTCAGTTCTTGTGAACACAGGTTACCCAGTTATGAGTTGATACTTTGAGTTGTTCACATACAAATCAAATGCAGGTTCTAGAAGTTAGTTCTGCAGTATCATGTTTTGTTTTCCTATTGTCCTCTCCAATTCCTCCCAACCCAAATCCTAGGAAATAAATGAGATGGGGTCAAGCAATCTCAGGTAAGAGAGGAAGCATTTTTCACATAATTTCTCCAGCAGAAAGCTTGTTTTAAAGTGTTCTAACTGCCCTTCCCCAGCCACCCAGAGACTGCACTGACCCACTTTAACATGTGAGCATACAAACACCTGATTGGGCTCAGCTGAAGGAAAAGGGAATAAGCCACCACATGTGTGAACATTTGAGTACTATTCTAGCCACTAAATCTTCATGTTTTATTTATTTGCAATCTTTATTTAGTTGATAACGGCATAATTTTAAGTATCTGTGCTCTTATAAGCCACTGTAACTCCCAAGGAAGGCAAGGTCAGATGACCCATGTAATTTTTAACTCTCATTTAAATCACTGATGAGTGTTACTCTCTCACTGAAATTTAAGGCAGTTGTGATAGAAGGTTCCTTTTCATTATTTCTTACATGACTGATCTTGATTTCTTCAGAACTGCAAGGTTTTTCCCCTGTCAAAAAACCTTTACTGAACAATAGTGCAATGTACTGATAAAAATCTCTGGTTTACAAGTTATTTTCTTTTTCACATGAAACTTAACTTAGAAGGCTGAAAAAAAGAGCTCAAGATTGCATTATCAAACAAAACATCTTAGTCATCGCTGACTCAGCCCCAAGAGGAACAGCTTAAATAAACCAGCACTTAAACTGTACAGGTTAAAACTGATGTGTTATAAAAGGCAAACTATTCAAAAATACCAAATAATATTGTTATGGCAGTTGTAAAGCAACAGACCCACAGGTCACTCTTGCCTTGCTAACCACTTTAAAGGCCTCATCCAGCTTTGCAAATAGCAGCACAAGTCAATGACTATTTCTCTGGTTTGCATAAAACACCAAGACATCTGTTTTAGAGTCTGACAACAAATCTCCAAGTCAAGAGAAGCATTAAACCAATGTAATTAATCTGTTACCTTCTGACCTGCTGCTGAGGCCTTCTGAACCTCCAAGGTCTCTGCCTGGCAGAAGCACTCATGGTAGTAAAACTGCTTTTACATGGTGCTGCTCTAGGCATCAAGGTACCAACAGCAGAGAAACAAGGTATTTTGCACAGACATTGCATTACAAGAGCAAGAGTTAACCTCTGCCTCTAACACTAAATTGCAGCTGACTTAGTGTATACAGGTGTGAAGTCTCACCTAAAAATGCAGTTATGATGGCACAAGAATTTGTCAGAATAAGCATTATACATTGCTTTCCCACCCCACACAAATACTAAAGAGTACTTCTTTTTTTTCCCCTCTCTCGTGATTCCAGGTGGCAAGAGGCATCTTGGACCAAAAGCACCACTAATATTTAGAAACACTTCAAGGCCCAACCTTCACTGCTTATCTAAGGTAAGCAGATTTGAACTAACCATCACTTCCCATAGAAAATTAACTTAATAGAACTATTTTCTTGTCTACGTTAGAAGCCCAGAATCTTTACTCACAGTTATTACTACAGAAGCAGCTATGCCTCACCACTGAGCAACACCAGAAACAGATTATAGCATGTTCCCTTAATTAGGGAAATCCTGACCACTTACTGAGTCTTGCATAAAGAAACTGAACTGAAACAGGACAGTAAAGGATAACAAAAATGCTACTTTTATTCCCACAGAATGCATTATTACATCTTCACCTAGTAAATATTTACCACACCTGAACTGGGTCTACTCTTCTCACCCAACACATGCACAGAACAACGTTCACAATTTAGCTGGTCACTACCAACCAACATTTTTACCAGCAAATAAAAATCACACAGTAATTGTATCAAGCCCCTGTGGCTATAAATGGGCTATTCCTGCTCTAGCAGTAAGACTGATAGATCCTGAGTCAAGAGCTGCTGACTTCCATGTTCAGTCTTGATAATAGCTCAGTGTTGCTGTTACTCAGCATTACGTTATCTATTATTTTTGCTTTGGTCTCCTGCCCTGAAAACTCATTTTTCTAATCTATCTCATGAACGAGCCAGGCAAGCTTTCCAGTAAATATTTACACTGAAGCTCCCAAAAGCCACCATACTATAAACTGAAAATCCCAGCACATCAGAGGCAAAAGGATGTGGAGCAATACAAAAGATGTACTTACTGTAGAGAGCCCAAACACCCTGATTTTCTTGTCTTTGCTATTATGTTCAATTTTCCCTCCTCCAAGGCACTTGCACTCATATCCCAGCTTTTCCATCTCCGGGTTTACTTTTTCAAATATATGATCTGCATGAGAAGAATGGTGAGAGCTATTACAATATGCACTAGGCATCAAGTAATCCAGTACTCTTAACTATTTTCACTCATTTTCCTTCTATTGCTTGCAAGAGAGGGAGATTTCCTTTGGAAGACACAGAAAAGCTGCAGCTAAGGTTATTTTTTACTTGGTTAATAGAATCATAGAATGTTAAGGGATTGGAATGAACCTTGTAGATCATCTAATGCCATCCCCCTGCCCTGGGCAGGGACACCTCCCACCAGAGCAGGTTGCTCAAGGGTTTATTCCACCTGGCTTTGAGCACTGCCAGGGTTGGGGCAACCACAGCCTCCCTGGGCAACCTGGGACAGTGTCTCACCACCTGCACAGGGAAAAACGTCTTCTCAATATCTAATCTAAACACCCCCTGTATTCAATTTATACCCATTATTTCTATAATAGGTAATTACTCCTATCACTACAGCTCTTAACCAAGAGCCCCTCTCCAACTTTCTCCAGATATTGGATACACATCTCGCTCTGCTGAAGGCTGTTGACAGATATGGCAGCAGCACTCGACAGAGATGCTGCCCCGCTCTTC